GATTCATTAGTTAGGCCAACATGAGATCTTTCGGCAAAATGCATGTGCGAAAGGTCAGTGCATTATAAACATTACTGCGAAATTTAAGAAAAATGGTTTTATAGTAAGTAGATCGCTTAATATTACATATAAAAAGTTCTTTGAAGCAATTCCAATACTAAGTTTTTTATTTATTTAGGTTTAGAGTTGTAATTGCGATAATTAAATAATATAATTAGTTCAAAGATAAGTATAATAATAGAAGATTTTGTATTTTAGATAAGTAAAATATATAATAAAGTATATATCTCTTTTTTTAGACGAAATCGGGGCTGTGAAACAAAAAAATATATATTTATTCATCTTCATCTTGAGTATCGTTGTCATTTTGAGCATTATCTTCGCTTTGAGTATCATTTTCATTTTGAGTATTTTTTCGTTTTTTCTTTCGTTGCTTTAAGGCTGCTACAGTATCCTTAACCAAGTTTTTAATTGCTCTTCCCTTTGATTTTTTTTTTTTAGTTAAGTAAACTTCTTCTGCAAGAAGGTTTTGCATACGTTCTATTCCATGTTGATAACAAGTTTCCATATTGAAGAATCCTTTCGTAGTATTTTGGGTTGTGTAATCAAAAAGAGAATGACTGTTGGGATCTGGATTTTGAAATGCGTTATATATTTGTTCGCTTAAAGCCCATGTTTGTTCAAGTCGATTTGGTACAACACGATCATCAATATCTATTACTTGGTCAACAAATTCATCAAGAACTGATAGTCGTTCAATTTCATCTTGGCTTCCTTGTATTTGTCGATGTAAGTTTTTCTCATCTCCAGATTTTCTTGTCATCACCCCTTTAACAGATTTAACACCATATGTCTCTAAAGCTTCGTCATATGCTAGATAATGCCCTTCACAAGTAATATTAATAGATGGTACTTGATATAGTGTTTTTGAAGTTGAGTATTTTTATGTAATTTTCCTAAAAAAATAGCAACTGATTCCGCATATCTAAATTTGCCAGTAACCAGGGAAAGTGGTGCAAATGCAGCGAGACATGCAATTTGCAAATCGAAATTTCCTCTTCAAATTCCAATTTTATGTGCTTTTCAATAACCAGCCCACCGATAATAATTTAACCAAACTTTTAAAATATTATTAGACCCATTTTTAATGTCATCAATAGTTTTATTCGTATCTTGTAGATGACGGCAAATTGCAATTCTGACTGCTGCCCAGATTAGCCCAAGAACTGTACATGTTGCATGATAATCTGAACCTTTTTCTAAATTTTCTAAATATCGAACACCAAGTTGTAATGCCATATTAAAAATTCTGTAATCAGAAAAGACTGCAAGTAAGGCTTGGCACATGTCCTTTGAAGTGTGCCACTGTCCGAGAATAATATTAGCAGTAAGGTCTTTATTTTCATAATTTTTAAGTCTTCGAAAAATAGCTTTGTCACATGCAACATCGATTATACTAACTCCTGTATTTGCTACATCATTTAAAAAACATATCACATGTCTCATATGCATTTTTATTAAAATTTGGTGCCAGACTGGGTTTTAGAATTACTATCTTTGGTTTATCAAATTTGCATCCTATTTCAACGGTTTTAATAACCTTTTGATGAATATCACTAATATCAAAATTATTATTTTTTTCCAAAAGCAGTTCCTCAAAAATTCGATTATAATTTTTATTCAGATTATCTGTGACCGTTGATAACCCAATCGTAACTTGGCTCGATCGTTCAGTAAAAAAGACTGAAGTAGCATCAGGCAAATTTGAAGGAAGTTTAAACTGGAATGTGATTCGTAGAGTGGCATGTGCAGTTTGTCATGCAGTATTATAAATATTTCCGTATGCAAATGTTTTTTCTTTTATATCTATATTATTAATAACTGATAAATTATAGATATTACTTGTAGTTTCAAGTCTGTTAGCAGGATTAGCACTTTCCATACGCCATCTTTCTGTACGAACTTTATGATCCCAAACATAAGATATTATATGTGCAGAATGAAGAATTTTATGAAGCTTTGAAATCATATGTGGGCATCTACAAAGTGAGCCCAAGACATGAGGTAACCAAATTTTCCAATGACGAAAAGTAATTCCTATCACAATTGATACTAAAAATATTGGGATTCTTTTAATTGATGTTAAATTTAATGGAATTGATGGTGATCCGCGCGATTTTCTTTTTCTTTTAGCAATTTCATGTTTTTTTATAAAAAGAACCATAATAAGACTATTAAAAAAA